GCTACTGTATGACCCAGCAATTGCACTCCCTGGGCATTTATGTCAGAAAAATTAAAACTAACATTCACATAAAAATCAGTACATGAATGTTTATAGCAGCTTTATTCATAATAGCCCCAAATTTAAATAGGCCAGATGTTCCTCAACAGGTGAAGATTAAACAGACTGTGGTACTTCCATATCATGAGCTACTACTCAGCAATAGAAAGGAATGACCTATTGATACACATAACCACTTGGATGGATCTCCAGAGAGAGAATTATGATGATTAATCAGTCCCGACATCAAGCTCTATTGGCATAACATACTACACATAAACATTGTTCTACATCCTATTTTAGTGAGTAGTGACTGGGGTCTTAAAAGCTTGCAAGTGGCTATCTAAGATGCAACAATTAGTTTCTCTTTGTCTGGAGCAAAGAAGAATGAAGAAAATCAAAGATGCATAGAAACAATTAGTCCAAGGGATTCGTGGACCATGCAAACCTCAGCTTGTATGGCCATGAGACCAGAAGAACTAGATGATGTGTGGCTATCACTGTTTACCCTTTGGGAAGGGATCAATGCTGGAGATCCTAGATGGAGTGGGAGAACAATGTGGAACAAAACTCAAAATCAAAAAAAAGACCAGGTTTACTGGTCTGATAGAGCCTGGTGAAACCCCCAAGACTATGGCTCCTAGTTACCTTTCAGGCCTGGAATTGAACTCATTCCCATAGCTTCCAGCCAAACAATAGAGAGGCATATAGGGTGAACTTTTATATCAGGTAAATACACTCTTTAGAATAATCAAGGAGTACTTGCGCAGGGAGATAGCTCAGGGGGCAGGAATGCATAGGAAAGAAGGACACAGGGAGGAGGTAACTACAGGGAGGAAGTGGGAAGAGAGCTGTTAGATTATAGGAATTGTAGTCAATGTCATGAAACAAAATGTGTATAAACTATTGTATGGAAAATAAATTTGCTCTGTAAACTTTCACCCAAATCACAATGAAAATAATAATTAAAAAAATAAAAAGGAAAAATCCAAATTGAAAATGTTGTTGTTGTTGTTGTTATGTGCCGTCGAGTCAGACCTGACTCATAGTGACCCCTCCTTGGGTTTCCAAGGCAGTATCACTGCGGAAGTAGATTGCCCCATCTTCCTTCCAAGGAGTGGCTGGTGGGTTTGAACTGCCAGCCTTCTGGTTAGCAGTCAAGTGC